CCACCGCCCGCCGCTCCTCGACGCCCATTGGCCGAGCCCATTGTCCGTGCTCACAGAGGCCGCGGCTCTTGCCAGGCGACGCCCCGTTGCCAGGCGACGCCCCGTTGCCAGGCGACGCCCCGTTGCCCCAGGCCGCTCGGGCCATCAGCTCACAGACACCAATGTGGTGGATGGCAAATGGTGTGTGTTGGTGAACAACACGGCCTTATATTACTTAGGTTGGGAATGTCACTTCCGTCTGCTTACATCATAGTCTAAACACTATTAACTATCCGGAGAGGGGTCCTATCTTTCCGGACAGCATGATATCTTCTGACCGCCAAGCCCTAAGTACCCACATCTCCCCCCTCCCTGTGCTTATACAAAGTATATATCATAACTTCGCAATAACAAACATAAGGCACGCTGAACAAGTGGCAACTAAGGGGTAATTGGGGGTAACGCGGTGTAACTTGGGGAAACCAGGGATAACCGGGGATAACACTGAGTAAATACATTCTTAAAGTAGTTGTTGGTGTTCTACCAACATGATGTTAACCCGTTCTAACCGGCTCTTGACAAATGACAAGAACCGATTTAATATACAGGGTCCGAAGGCCAATACTCTCATGAACATTCTACTTGCCCTATAGTAACAAGCCCCAAAATCAAAATCACACAAAGCCACCGTAGCCCCCTCCCCTGGGGGCTTTTTCGCTGTTGTATGGGTTCCACCAGTGTGGAGCTCCTGGGTACGGACGGGATGGTTGGTGACTTGTTGTCCTCTCTTGTCAGCGGGGCGTACGGGTTACAGGGGTGTCCGATGATCTGATCCTGTGAACAAAACCTCACAATTTTTGTCAGCTTTATTCTGGAGGTCCGGTTTAATGGATTTAAGTGGACACCACTTAACTCTGCCATCTCTTCTAACAGCGGCATACCCTCGCCCTGTAAGGACTAGCCTCCATCCTTGTTCCCATTCTCCCAGCTCATTTCTAATTATGACTGGCAGGCCTTCTTCTAGCGTTCGAGTAGCCCAATGTTTTTGGGTGGGGCTATTTACCTCTTCCCCCCTGGGGAATTGATTAAGTGCTAACAGGGCAGTCGCCAGCAGGCGTGCTTGGTCTTTTGAGGGAATGGCGTTGGCAAAACCTTCTGCTTTTGCTAATGCCTCTAATTTAGATTTCCGAGTTTGATCCGCTCGTTCAACTGTGGCTTGTCCTGTGCTATTATACGGGATTCCATGTGTTAGGGTGATACCCCATTTTAACGCAAATGCCTGAACTGATTTAGAAACAAAATTCGGACCATTGTCCGTTTTGATCTGATTGGGGACCCCCAGCCACGCCATGGCCGTCAGCCAATGTTGGATGGTCGCTTTGGAGTAGTTTCTGAGGTGTTGTGTGGCTATGATTACTCTGCTATATGTGTCTACAGTTACCGCTAGCCATGCTCGAGGTTTCAATAGCTGACAAAGCGTAAAATCCGTGTGCCACACCTCGGAGGCCTGAAGACCTCTGGGGTTGACTCCACTGGACCACAATGGTGCTTTCTGACAGTGGGGACAAGTGGCTACTATGTGTTTCACGTCAGTGACTGAAATCCCTCATTTCTTTGCTAGCGCTTTAACTCCAATGTGGAGAGACTCATGTAGCTGACGGGCGTCTCTTAGCATCCGCAATCCTTTTGCAGCGGTGTCTGCTTTGTCGTTACTGGTTTGGAAAAAACCTTTAAATGGCTTGTGGCTGTTGACGTGGATGACTGACACGTTGCCCTTTCGGGAAAAAAGTGCTTCTTCTAACATTAGAGCTACTGTAGATGTCGATACGCCGGGCCCCAACATGGCTAAGCAAAGCTTGGCCACGAACATCGAATCAGTCACTATGTTGAGATGTTCTATTGGGAACAGTCCGCACGCTAGTACTGCAGCCGTCGCTTCTAGCTGCTGGACTGAAAACGTGCAGTCGGTCATTTTAATGCAGCGCCATTCTCCTTCCGACTGCCATACTGCTGCCGCAGGTGAGGTCACTGAAGATGCATCTGTGAAGACTGTTGGTCCCTGTTGGGCTCGGTCCATGATCTTCTGTGGGAGGTCGATGTTGACAATTGCCAGCATTTGAGTCTAGGGGGGCTTCGTAGCATACTGGACTTCTCCACCAAATCCCATGAGGGCTATGGCCAGATACTCTGACATCGCCACTGATTGCATTGCAAGCTGTTTGTGGAAGGGTAGGTATATCCTGGCGGGTTCGAGGCCTAGGTGTCTTAGGGCGAGTTTTCTGCCTTTCATAATGAGATTACCAAGGCACTCGACTCCTGGACAGAATGAACGTGACGGATTTCCCAGGACTATCCATTGTATTGGTAGAGCTTTTTCAGGGGGGCCCTGAGCTAGTGCCCCTACCCCTCCTCCTTCCGGGAAATGTACATACAGATCAAGTGGTATATCCGGATTCCACCTAGCAAGCGTGCTTGACGATACTTGTTGCTCAATAAAGTCAAGAGAGTTCATTGCTTCCGTCGTCAGGGTTTTTGGCTCCCATGGGTTCTTCCCTTTTAGAAGGTCGTGCAGGGGGGCCATGGTTTCGGGAGGGATCAGGACAATATTGCGGAGCCATTGCAAGGACCCTACTAACTGTTGCATATCATGAAGCGTTTTAATGTGCCGACGGATTTTTACTAACGGAGGGGTTACATAAGAACTTGTGATCCCCACTCCCTGAAACCTCACACATGGTCCTCTTTTAATTTTCACGATCGTGATTTTGAACCCGTTTGTTTTCAGAGTTTCTGAAACTGTTGATACTAGCTGGTCCACCTGATTTCCGGATGGTGCGGCAATTAGAATATCGTCCATATATTGAATAATGGTCACGGTGGGGTTACTGCACCGAACCGGTGCCAACGCCCGGTCCACTGTGATCTGGCACATAGTGGGCGAATTGATCATTCCTTGAGGCAACACTTTCCATTGGAAACGTAGGTTGGGGCGTTGGCTGTTTGGGAATATGACAGAAAAAGCAAACCGTTCCTTGTCTTCCTCATGCAGAGGTATCGAAAAGAAACAGTCCTTAATATCAAGGACAGCACAAGGTTGTCCTTCTGGAACCACAGAGTTCATGGGCAACAACGTTTGAACGGGATCCATTGGTTTAATTCTCTTGCTTACTTCACGCAAATCGTGGAGGAGGCGAAATCCCTCGCCATTCCGTTTGGGTATTACAAAAACTGGGGTGTTCCATGGGCTAGTGGAAGGCTCTATATGACCTCATCATAGTTCACGGTCGACTAGCTCAAGAAGAGCATCCATTCGAGGCTTTGACAGGGGCCACTGCTCGACCCACACTGGATCAGATGATTTCCATGTCAGTCTAATGGGTGGAAGTGGGTGTGTGGCAGTAGCCCTTACAGTAAATTTGTCACCCTGGCTTTTAATAGGACTAGAGCGTCCCTTCCCAACAGGGGTGGGACTCCTGACATGACATATGGAAAGAGGGTAATAGTTTTCTCCGGTCCCTTTTCAGTGTGAAGCGTTATTGCTATCCATTGAGCACTCTTCCGAGCCCGGGTTAATCCCCCGACTCCACCCACCATGGGGGCGTCTTCCAATTTCCAATGCGAGGGCCAATTCATCTTAGGGATAATTGTAACATCTGCTCTGGTGTCAATCAAAAAGGGGATACTAACGATAGCACCATCTAAGGTATTATAGAGGGAACAGATCCCCCACACCACCGGCAGGTTGTCACACTTTACTGCCATGGCCACCCTGGGGTCTCGCCCCCAAGGGGTAGTCCTTGCCGACTCTTGAGATAGGGACAGATTTGGGTGGGTTGTTGATTGAACCATAAAGTTGGTCGCTTCTCGAAGGGGCAACGGGTTCGGGAACACCTCGCCCCATCCGGGGTCGACACAGTTGGGCTGCCTTGTGTCCCAAGTGGTGCCCTCTCCCCCTCCCGTTTCCCTGGGTTTTAAATCCACATTCTTTAGCGAAATGCCCTTTCTTTCCACAGGCCCAACACGGTCCTCTGGGTCGGTTTTGGCGCGGGGGGAGCGCCGTTGGTGGATCCCCCAACCGAGGGCAGTTTGCTACAACGTGGCCCGCCTGGCCACATTTAAAACATGCCATCACACTAGCCATTGCGGTGTGAACAGCCGCCTGGACTGGGGCTAAATGCTCTTCATTCGCGACATGCTTAATCACGTCCGCGATGCTTGACCCCATCGGCAGTGATCGCGGAATTTCTTTGGGTGTCGAGTTACACTGCTGACGTAAACATTCCGCTACAAGCGGGCCCTTTGCTTCCACAGGCAGGGTCGAAGAGTCGACCGCTGCCTGGAGACGATCTACGAATTGTGTAAAGCTCTCGCTTTCATTTTGCTTTATTGTGGACCATGGTGACCGTTTGGCAATAACTCTAGAGGCTGTGCGAATAGCTTCTCTGGCCGCACGGGGAGTTGCCATAACTTCATGGGCCCGCAGGCCCTGGGCTTGCGCCTGGTGGGTAATCATTGTGGGATCTCTACCCATTAACCGCTGCAGGCTGGAGCCATGCAGTGGGTGATCCACCACAGTTACTCGGGCCAGCTGTTTCGCATGGTTCTCCTCCCATTCTTGTTTAAAAACAATCATTCCAGCCCCATCAAAAATCAATCTACAAGTTTCTTTTGTATTGAACGGAAGCATGTTGTTTCCCCCAAAGACACCGTCTATAAGGGTGGAGACCATGGCAGAATTAAGGCCTTTATCCGCGATTGCTTTAACAATCGCTTGTACATCCTTGGGGTTTATTGGCGAATGGACCCTCTGTCCCCCGTTCGTCACCCAGACAGGGAATGCCAGCGCGGCCGATGGGGCCTGATCGGCACACGCCATCTTTATTTTCCTCCAATCCGTGAGGGGGATTTGTCCCCTTTGCGGCTCCTCTTTGCTTTGGATGGGGATATTTTGGCTTTCAACTCTGTCTACCCCCATCTCCTCCTCCTCTGAGTCTGAATCAGTTGCGAGCCACTCCCCCCAGCTAGTCCCTGCCCCGGAGTGGGAAGTTGACTGACTGGCTGCTGCCGGGTTCCAGTACCTGTTTGTTGGGCTCCGGCCCCGCCCACCTCCCTTGCGGGCGGGCCGTTCCCTCCCTCTTAACTCGCCCCGCCTTCCACTCGGCGGGGGGCTTGCCCTATAAGGGCATGTTTTCAAGTGGCCGCTCTGATTGGCTCCCCTCCCCTTTCCGGTTCTCCTCCTCCTCCCCCCCCCCTAAGCTAGAGTGCTTAACTCTAGCACTTCCTCCCTCTGCCCGCCGGCGGCGTCCTTGCCCCGCCCTTCTTCTCCCCGCTCGGCTCCATTTTGGGGCGCACAGGGCGGTCGCTGGCCTAGCCCAGACTTCCTCGGACTCCAGTTCCCCGCGGCGCCCCCGGCCTCCTCGGCTGACTACCCCTGACTACCCACAGTTGCGGTCCCGCAGCTCCAGCGCATCGCCTCGTGTCCCGGGCACACCGGGAGACGCACGGAGCCTGTGTTCCCTTTCCTGGGAATCGCCGTTCCGTTTCCATCCGCAGCCTTTGGCTTTCCTGGCAGCTTTCTTCCTCTTTGTGCAAACGAAACGCGCTGGCAGTGCAAACGCAAAGCCCAGAGTGACAAGATTTGCTTTACACCTCTAAGATTACACGAGGTGGCTCCTACTTTATGCTGCCACCCCTGTTTACGTGATGTCTATTTTATATTACTTAGCCAAATCATAACGTACAAATACAAAAGCTGTCCTTTTCCAAACCCCTTTCCTTATGGAGAGAGCTTGGATTCAAACAGCCCGCCTTCATTCATTCTCATGACCTTGGCATGTCAATCCAGCAGGAATTTCAGGGTTCTTTCATCACCCTCTGGGAAGACCTGCTGCACTTGCAGCACCTTTCCTGCAGAGCAAGATGCTGTCCTGAGAGCAACAATGGAGCAGCTTGCTCCAAGCCCCTGTGTCCAACCTGGCCTTGAGCACTGCCAGGGATGGGGCAGCCACAGCTTCTCTGGGCACCCTGTGCCAGCGCCTCAGCACCCTCACAGGGAAGAGCTTCTGCCTAAGAGCTCAGCTCAGTCTCCCCTCGGGCAGGTTCAAGCCATTCCCCTTGGCCTGTCCCTACAGGCCCTTGTCCCAAGCCCCTCTCCAGGTTTCCTGCAGCCCCTTTAGGCACTGGAGCTGCTCTCAGGTCTCCCCTTCAGGAGCCTTCTCTTCTCCAGGCTGCCCCAGCCCAGCTCTCCCAGCCTGGCTCCAGAGCAGGGGGTGTTGAGCTGCTCCTCACCAATACCCGAAGTCTCTCCATCCCATCCCCATCCATTGCTGTCATTCCCAGCCCTGCACGCTCCGTCTCAGGACTCGAGAACTTGCTGGACACATGGAAGTTGATCAGGTTTTCCCCAGCTACGATGTAGGAGACACCATAACCGTCATCCGCCACCTGCGGGCCAAGGGGAAGGTGGCACCCACTGCGCCATGGGGCTGGGGCACCTGCCTGCAGCACGTCCCTGCCCAGGACCGTGGTGGGTATGGGGCACCAGCTTCCCCGCTGGAACCTCAGGACACCCCCATGACCCCCCATTATCCCCCAGGACCTTCCCAGTCCCCCAGCCCAGACCCCAGCACCCACCTACACCCCCAGGACCCCTCCAGTACCCCCTCATCCCCAGTGCTCACAGGCCCGAAGCCGCCGCCGGTGCAGTCATGACTGGGGAACTTGCTGAGGTTGAACGTGTTGAGCTGCTGCTGTGGGGTCTGGCTGGTGGAGGGAGGCCACAGCTCCGAGAGCACCTGCACCATGCCCAGGGCACCCAGTGCAGCCCAGTGCAGCCCAGTGTGCACCCCAGTGCACCCCGGTGCAGCTCAGTACAGCCCAGAGTAGCCACTGCACCCCAGTGATCTCCTGGCAATGGCAGCTGGGCACACGTGCACCATGTAGTGTGTGCAGCCCTTGGACACACATGTGCTGTGACACATGTCAGGGTGGCAGCTTTCTCCTGCACACGCCTATAGTGTCCTGTGTGCTCCGTGTGCCCATGCGGTGTCCCATGTGCTACGAGTGCCCATGCCATGTCCCATATATACTATACATATATATACACACATACAGATATACACATACACATACACACACGTATATATATATATATTTGAGAGGTGCCATCTGCCATTCTCTTTATAGTAATCTCTAGTCACAGAAATGTAGGGTAGGATAGCCTGTACTTAGCAACTGCAACCTTCAGGCTGTATCTTAAGTGCTGTTCTCCAAAGCCAATGTAGGCATCCCTGTTCCAGTGACTCTGTGGAGACAGTATGGAGAAGCACACTTCTGACTGGCAGGCTCCTTGGTGACCAGGCCCTGGGAGAGGCAGGCTGGGACGAGCCTAAGTTAGAAACTGTGGATCTGCTTGAGTGAGTCCAGAGGAGACCACAGAGATGCTGAGGGGGCTGGAGCACCTCTGCTCTGGAGACAGGCTGAGAGAGTTTGGGTTGTTCAGCCTGGAGAAGAGAAGGCTCCAGTGAGACCTTGTAACAGTCTTCCAGTACCTAAAGGGCCAACAAAAAGTCTGGAGAGAACAGCAAAGCGGTTCTGGGTGGGGACAACAGATTTAGGAGGAAGCCCCTTGCTTTTAATTGCCCTCTTCCTCCTTTGTAGGTTTTTTCATTGCTGTTTCCCATCTTCCCAGGTTAACGGCCTCCTTCTTTCCTCCATGAGCTACAGGGGACGCTTGAGGCCCCTGCACAGTTTGGGCCTGGAGCAAGCAGTGCTGCTTCCTCTCAGCTTCCCTGCCATCTTGCAGCCTATTGACAGCGTCCCGCAGCTCAGCCCCTGGTGCACCGAGTGCAGCCCTGCCCATTGCGCACCCTCCCCTCACCAGAGCAGTGCAGGCACTCTCTGCACCCCGAGCTCTGCACTGCAGCCTCCCCTCTCATCGGCTCTGTCTGGTATTGACTTTATCTTCTGTGAGCACTTGTAAAAATCTTCACAGACTGCTGAACTTACAAACTCTCTGTCAGGTTTTCTGCTTCCAAGGGCTTTACAAACAGATCTGTTAGTATTTTGTAATGCCTTTGGGAAGTTGCTTTCTTGGGGGAAGGCTTGTTTTCTCACATTGTTGTACTGCCAGTGTTTGAGCATCTCTGATCTGAGCACAGCTTCAGCTTCCTGAAGGACCTTCTTTGAGTGGTTCCTTTTCCTGCTGGGTAGCTGTGCTAGCTTTCCTTTACATTTCAAGGGCTTTTGGCTAGTGTTATATGCTTGCTCTGAGCCTTTAGCTGTGCTGGTAGCTCAGTTGTAAGAGGATCTCAGGCCTTTCATTTTCTAGCTTGTGATCACTAAAACCACTCGGTATTTTTTATATGCCTTTAGTTTCAGTTGTGTGAGCTCACAGTCTTTATACTATATATTAATTATATTTGTCTTGGTAGAATATCCTTCCTGTCGTCTTTATGATCTCCAGCGCAGACAGTTCTAGTAACTGCCTATGCTGTTTGTCCTTCTGGCATGAATTTGCTGGGTATAATCCTGATTTATGTCTCTTTGCTCTTAAAAGTTTCAGTTGGTGTGGGTTGTAATTTTGTGTTTTAAAGAGTCATTGAACATTTGGTTTCCCCTGCGTATTATAATGGGTAGGCTAACATAGGACTGGTGGATCTGCTGTCCTCCAGCATCGTTAATCTAATAGTAGTCACTAAAGGAATGCATTGGTATTTTGCATAGTCAGTGAGTATGTGCAAGAGTATGCGCATAGCCATATGAGGACTTCATAGTATTGTGCTGAATACCTGTTCAGATTCAGTGGCCTAATAGAAGAATGATGTTCTTGGGGCTCTGTATATATTTTAAGATCATTTTTATAGTACATACACCCGTTACATGGTCAGCTTCTTTTCTTAGTTTTTTTTTGTTCCTGGTTTTCCAAAACTGTTGAGGTATCAAGAGCAAAATAGGAAGTAATACGCTCTATGTTCCTAACATTGGCTGTATTTACTCCACATTCTTTTTCTGATGGAAGAAAAATGCTGCTCCAGTAGTCAAGAATTTGCATTTACAATCACATTAATGCTGTCAGAATCCATATTCAAGTCTTAAAAGGAAGCGTAAGAGATGCTCAGTTGCAGCAACATACATATACTGCTCATACGATCTTATTGCTATGTCTGGGTTTATGTTCATCCAATAGCCTTCAATGACTTCATTGTGCCAATCTTGTAAGAGCTCAACCAGCCTTCAATGAAAATCTGAAACATCTCTGAAATGGTGTCATTTTTGAGCTGCGTGTGAACTCTCTGTATTTCATGGCAGAACTGACTGCTAACACAGTAATGTTTGATTGCGTTTGGGTATTCCCTGTTTATTGAGTGCAGTTAAGATTCCCAGAGAGGCACAGATTCACGCACAGACAACCCATCCTTTCTATTTTGAGAGTGTTGGGCTTGTGCAGATGGGCTTGAATATCGGTGCTATGGTGAGCCATGGTCTTCAAAGGGTGGTGAAGTCCTGTATCTTATTGGACTATTCACAGAAACAGGATGAACAGTATTGCCTTGAAAATCCATTGACTGAAAATGCTGATATACCTGGAAACCTTCCAAGTGGCCTTTGTTAACATCTCGGCTCCAGGGCTGCCTGTAGGGCTCATGTCTGTAAATATAAGCGGCCTCTGGCCACTTTCTATCTTCTGGTAAATAATCCACTGGAGGGGTTATGAATTTGACAGCTGGGGGGGATCTCGAGTTGCTGGTAGAAGCATCAACAGGGGCTACTTCTATCTGCCCAGGGGTTGTTGAAAGAGGATTTTGGTGACTGGCGGGATAGGAATTCATTTGTAGTTTATCTGGAGAATAATCTACTGAAATAAAAGAACCAGATGGCCTCCCAGAAGGGCTGGTTTGACTCCCATGGTAATGTAGAGGAACAGAACTCATTGCCTATACTGGAAACACGCGCTCAAGAATTGCCATGGTAAGAAGGTGGATTCCTGTAATGTGGCAGTGGCTGTTCTACATTCAGCCCGTGAGGTGGTCCATCGGATTGCAAGGAGTATTTTGGAGATCTGGGTTGTGAAGTGAAGGTGTAATTGGGTATTTTTAATGGAGCTGGTTTTCTGTCAGGTTGCTTACCTGCACTATTAGAATATGCTACGTGCCCCAGGCTCTGTGGTTGAGCTCTCTCAAGCATCTCTTCAACAAGATTCTCATTCTCAGCTTCCAGAACGTTGTCATACTGAGACGCATTCGACCCTCGCTTACCTTCATCAGCAGCCAAACCCCTCATCTTTTGCTTTACATTCAAAGGCTGCGTGTCTACAGGACAGCAGGTCGAAGGAGGTGATCCTGCCCCTTTATTCTGCTCTCGTGAGACCTCACCTGGAGCATTGTGTACAGTTCTGGTGTCCTCTACATAAAAAGGACATGGATCTGTTGGAACAAGTCCAGAGGAGGCCACGAGGATGATGCGGGACTGGAGCACCTCCTATGAAAATAGGGCTAAGAAAGTTCGGGCTGTTCAGCCTGGAGAAGAGAAGGCTGCATGGAGAGACCTCATAGCAGCCTTCCAGTATCTGAAGGGGGCCTATAGGGATGCTGGGGAGGGACTCTTCATTAGGGACTGTAGTGACAGGACAAGGGGTAATGGGTTAAAAGTTAAACAGGGGAAGTTTAGATTGGATATAAGGAAGAAGTTCTTTAGGGTGAGGTTGGTGAGGCACTGGAATGGGTTGCCCAGGGAAGTTGAGAATGCTGCATCCCTGGCGGTGTTCAAGGCCAGGTTGGACGAGGCCTTGGGTGCCATTATTTAGTTTGAGGTGTCCCTGCCCATGGCAGGGGGGTTGGAATTGGACAATCTTAAGGTCCTTTCCAACCCTAACTATTCTATGATTCTATTCTATGATTCTAAAGTGAGAGTGGGAGAGCCGGGCAGTGCAGCAGTGGGAAGAGAATCCTTATTTGCTGCTGAAGGCGTAGGCAAATGGGCATCTGAGTGCGAAGGGCAACAGCAGCAGCAGCAGCAGCAGAAGACGGCTTCCTGCCCCACGTGCTTCCCAGTCCAAACCCTCTACCTTCCTCTTGCTTCTGCAGAGTGGTGAGCACCACCCAGCTGCTTTCTTGTGGGTGATGCGGGGGTCAGGGCTGCTCAGAGCTCCACATCACTCTGTCAGTATTTGCAGAGGGTCCTTCTGAAAGATACTGAGGCAGCATGGACCAAGTGGAAGGATTCAGTGCTTTGATAGTTTTTCCCTTTTGGGTGGCTAGGTTTAGCGTGAGAGCTGGGAATTTCTGTTTCTGCTTTGGAGAGGCACTGAGAACCCAGTTCCCATTAGCGCTGCTTCCCAAGTCCTTGGGGGTTCCTGAGCCCCTGCGCAGCCAGAGGGGCCCTGGGCAGTCATCATCATAGAGAAGTAAGCACTTGTATGGTATCATTCACTTCATCTGCCTTGGGTGAAACATGTCCTGGAAATGTGCATTCGTCTTTTACTGACTCTGAAGGGAGTGCTCAGGGCTAACTCTTCATCAGCACAAATCCTGCTTAGCCATCAGCAGAGCTCCAGAAGCAAATCTGGGCCTCTGAGTCATTGTGATGGGAGTGAGCTAAGAGGGGCTGTTGCAATTGTTTGCCTGTGTTAGTCTGGCTTCAGGGGCCAGGTCTTGAGTGAATACAGCTTTATTAGGAAAAGTGTCTGGCCAGGATTTGAGTCTTAGCTGCTTTCTTCACTCACCCATCGGGATGCAGCAGCAAGCCTCTGTGAGCGCTGTCTATTTGCGGTGGATCTCACCTTATATTCCAGGTGTAAATTTTAAGTAGCAGGTAGCAGAGAGCAGCTCTTGTTTGTTTTAGATTTACTCCCAGTCTGTAACATACACATAT